AGCTTAATGATAAATTTGAATACTAAGCAGTCCCACTAACTGCCTGTTTTTCTCGTCACCTCTGACTTACTTAGAGCCTCAAACCTATTTCACCCAGTCAAATAAATATATTGAATAATGATAAACTGAGTACTGCTAAATTCTTGATATCAACAAGCCATATAGACATCTAAATAGTGGAAAATAGAAGTTTTTTGATTTTTAATGATTTTTTCACCCACACTACTACATTTAAGACTCAAAAGTCTTGATAAAAAATTGTATAGGGCCGACCTGGTGGCTCACTCGAGAGAGTGCGGCGCTGGCAGCGCCGAGGCCGCGGGTTTGGATCCTCCATAGGGATGGTCCATGGCTGGTGCACTCACTGGCTGAGTGCAGTGCGAGTGACACCAAGCCAAGGGTTACGATCCCCTCACCGGTCACACACACACACACACACACAAAGAATATATAAATTTATACATTGTTATAGTCTCTAACCTTCTTTAATTGTTTGTACATGTTTACACCATTTCCTCAGATGTATTTTAAGGTCCGTAAGGCCCATGCCACATAATGTTGAAGACAGTGCTTGATATATGTAATTTAACATTATATATATTGAATTTTAATCCCAACTCATCTTAGTTTTTCAATTTATTACTCTGGCACTGGGAGATACTGGATGAGGTAATTTTCAAGTTTAGAAAAGAAAAAGAATTGGGTAAGCACTCAAAATTTGACCTATGAACAGTTTTTGATGATTATATGTAGAGTAATACTATGAGGGAAAAAAAAATCTTGCATGAATTCGGGTGAGTCAATATGAAGCCTAATATGGAAAAGTTTGTAAGTCATCTCAAATCTATAATGTAGTATGTGTAATAATCAAGCCTGATTGCCACACTTTAAACATATATTTTTCCATTAACCAAATTGAGGTGTGTTATCGTGGTAGACGGTCTGTCAAAATCCCAAACATTCTTATGATTCCTTGATATAAGGATCATTAAAAAATAACTTTCTAGGGTCATTAAACATTAAGAAATCTTACAATCTCTTCAACTACTGTGCTTAGAATTCCAATAAGAAGAAATGAGTTCTGTCATTTTGATTGAGAGAGTAGTGTTTACCCCATGCATGTCACAGAGCAGCTGTAACAGGACACATGCAGTCGAGGTGGGGCTGAGAGCAGCCCCTGCTGCTGCACGCTCTACCTCTAGGTTGCTCTACTCCCGCCAGTCTCTGACCCCTAGTTTTATATGTCTTGGAGTTCATACAAAAATATTTTAAGCTAGATGACATTTTAAAATATACTTTACTCTCAAACACTTAAACTTTAATTCCCAGTATCTGGATATCAACCTCTTTGTCAAGCTTTGATTTCACTGGAGAGAAGTAGTAAGAATTTAAAACCTGAGTTAAAAACAGAGTCTGCTGTTGTTCCTATAATCTTTCAACATTAGTAGAGGGGATGCTACTGAAAGCAGGAGGTTGAATATACTGAGTTTCACAGTGAAGGAGCTCCTTGTTGTCACTCCTGACACCTGACTATCTCCATGCGCCATGCAGATTTTAGAGGAGCCATTCTTCCATTGTATTTTCAAAGTTCATGAAGAAATACTTACAAATGTGTAAAAAAGTCTAAATTTCAGATTATAATAACTAAGTGAAAGAGTGAATTTGAATGGACAAACCTGGGGTACAAAAACTTAAAAAAAGCAAAAACACAACTTACAATATATTTTTGTACAAAATTATTTAATATTCATTTATTGATCTAAAAACAGAAGTTAATTTGGAAGAATATTTCTTTGTAACATCATATGCATATAAAAAAAGTTGACAAGCTGACTCTTTGGTTTATCATTTCATACTTTTGTTTTAAATATTCCAAAACCAAACTGAATACTATGATAAAGTTTTTTAAACAGCATCTCATGTAAGTCACCCACCTAGTTAATGTGAGACCATGATTCTACTTTGTAGCCCTTAGCCACAGGCACATTAACAATGAGCAGATATTCACAGAACACAAATATCTGTAGAATAATAGTTGACTAACTGGACAGATCTCAACTAAAGTTTAAGTTGCAGTCAGAATTCAACCTTTTTCATTTTTATCTAGATTACACTAGACATCATCTTGATTAAACATGATACTTGCTTCCACAAGTGTAGACTGACAACATATACCCAATTCTCAACACACCATGTTAGACCTGCAGCTAATCCCAGTCATTAAAAGAGAGGGATATCAGTGTGTCAGGAAACAGGGTGATTGATATCATTCTTAAGCCACCCGCTAAGAATTACTTTGACATTATTTTCTTGAGTTTCTGTTAACAAACTAATAACGCACTACATAGAGAGTGAAAATTGTGTTATCAAATTTTAATATCAAAGAATACCTAAGTAACATCTTTCCACCAATATGAATGTGGGGAGAAAAAGAGAGAAAGTATATTGCTTGAAACTATTACATCCACAAACTTTGCTACAAACAAACTAATAACGCACTACATAGAGAGTGAAAATTGTGTTATCAAATTTTAATATCAAAGTATACCTAAGTAACATCTTTCCACCAATATGAATGTGGGGAGAAAAAGAGAGAAAGTATATTGCTTGAAACTATTACATCCACAAACTTTGCTACGGTCTGTTTAAAAATTAAACACTTAGTCAATTTTTTGAAGTACAAGGGTACTTCAAAAAGTTTGTGGAAAAATAGAATTGACAGAGAACATGAATCTTTCCACAAACTTTTTGAAGTACTCTAATATTACGTGCTTGCTCAGTCTTAACCCTGGGGAATTTCTCAGACACAGAAATTTAGGAAAGATACTATGTACAGATTAAGACATACAGGTATTCCTGGAAGAAAAAAAAAAAAAAACACACAGAAGAACAATCAAAGAAAAAAGGCAGAGGACAATAAATCTGCTGTGCAAAAGCCTAAATTACCTGTCAGGTGGGGATTAAATAAAACATCCTGTGCTCCCCAATTCCACTTAAGAGGAAGAGGTCAGAAACTATGTAAAAGGTTGTTTCTATAAGCTATGTATATTTTCAGAAACTACAGAAGTTGTACAAAAAGGCAACAGGCTTTTGTTTGTAATTAAACATGATTAAACTTCTAGTCTCTATATAATTTCAACTGTAGAGTTACATTGCACTATATTTCAGGATTTTTCATTTTGACAATTAGCTAATTACCCTCTTAGTTCTGAAAGACTCCCCATCTAATACTAACAAAGAATGGGTGATAATAAAGTCGATCTAGTTTGTTTAACTGTGGGCTCTCGATTTTGGAATGTGGGTAAAGAACTATGGTCCAGAACTACAGAAGTGAATTTTGCTAAGAGCAAAATGAATAATCTCTTCTACCCACTGAGCCCCAATTCTAATGCTTTGTAGTGATCAGACAGTAACCTATAGAGATCACACGATTTCTACATAACTCTAAAAATTAACCCACTAACAATGAACATTTCTTATTGCAACTGAATTCTTTGTCTGACTATATGAAAATACATATTCTAAAGGTTTTTTTAAAAAAAATCAAATATCAGTGAATATAATTGGCTACCTTTCCTGTGATAAATGACTGTTCTAAGTTTTATTTTTATGCTGTTAATTTATTAGGAAGTGTACACAATTTCCAATTTATTATACTCAGCTTCCCAAAACAATAATGTCCCATGTTGCAGTACATGAGAATTTCCTTTGTTATAATGGGAGCTTTAAAACTTTCTTTTGTGAATTATATAAAATTGAATGATGTAAAAATGAATGGTTAAAATCCATATATCATCTCTCCACTACAGTTTCTAATTAAGACTTAAGAAGATCTTCGATCTGAAGTAAACAATGTATCTGTTTTTTTTACCATTACCATTTAAAAATCAGGTGTTTACAGAGAAAGACAATCTATAGTGTAATTAAGCATAACCATCCCATAGAATAACTTTACTGTACATTAACACTTTGGTGAACATATACATCATATCCATAATTCTACCTCTGCAGAAATCTATTGATTTCTTTCTATCTATAAAAACTGTCCATGGTGTTCTTTGGACAAATATTTATAGCTACATTCATTTTGCAACTTAATAGCTGTTTGAAATGATATTTCACTTATTTTTGTGTATGAAGTTTCCAAACTTTTGCATGAATCCTCGAAACTTGTTTTCATTTGGTTGGTATGAGTGATAAACACCAGTGTTGTAATTGAGCATTGGGCTGGATCTGCCATAAGTGTTGCCCATAGTTGTGGATTTCATTTCTGGACGGTTTATGCTGGTATTTGGCATGTTGCTTGTTGGCTGAACAGAGCTCTCGATCTTACAAAATGGCTCAAAACGACTGTAAACACGCCGGTCGGTTGAATGAGATCTTAGAAGCTCATTGGGCTTTGGCCTTGGAGGAGAAGTTGGTCTTCTTTCAGGAGTAACAACTGCATTAATCTCCTTGGAATCTCGGTATTGAATTTGTTCTGTATTAAACCTTGGGGCAGAGGCATCCCCTGACCTTTCCAAGAATTTGCCTTCAACTGGACCAGGAGAAGGCATTATTTTATTAATTCCATCTGTTACAGCACTTATCCCCTGAGATGAGCTAACTGTTACATCTTCCTTACTCTTGTGGAGGCTGCCTTGAGAGTTTGATGAGGAAGAACGTTTTCTTCTAGGAGATGAATCAACTTTTGTTTCTGATTTCTTTGGCTTTTGATTCTCTTCATCCTCAGAAACTAAAGTGTCAGAGCTACTACACATTCTATAAAAGGCAGGTGCTTTATTTTTGGATAGATTTTCTTTCTTTTCTGGAGTAAGGCTAAGTAATGACCTTAATTTCTGAGATCCTTTTTTCAAAAAACTTGGGGAAACCTTAACTTCCTTCTTTGAGCTGGGTTCTTTGTTGGATTCCTCTTTATTCACATCAAGTAAAGCAGCAATAGAAATTGATTTGGTAGTAGTGCCACTTGGAGGGTTTCTCTTGATAACCTCCCCCTCCTCCAAGGGATGGGTCACATTGTGCATGCTTTTAGAACTTTTTAGCAAATCCTCTTTGGGTTTTTCTGGTTGTCTAACTCGATTTCTGGTAAGCGTACTATATACATAATGCTTACTATTTCCATGATCTAAATGGGCTTTTGTGTGGTCAAAGAATGGGAAACTTCGCCTTTTAAGCAGATTCTCATTTTGTTGATTCTTCAGATTTTCTGTCTGCTTATTTACACACAAGGTTGTGTATATATAGTTGTTTGATTCTGTATGGCCATTTGTAGTTTGGTTTAAGACTGTTGAGTGGTTTTTGGGAAACTGCAAGTTGTGCTTTTTTGGTACCTCTGACTGTGATGGGAACTCAGGGACTGATTCTAGCAATGGTTTGTCTGTCAAATGCTGTATACTTGTAGGGGTGTCTGGGACCTCTTTAGGTGTGTCACTTCCCTGGGAATCAATAATAGTTGAATTTGAGGAACCAGTCGTACAGCTGTTAACTTCCTGCTGCTCAGGTAAAGTTGGTTTAAATACAAAAGAGGAACGAAGCCTAGAATGAGTATAAAGGGCACTGGCTTTCAAATTCTCAGTATCATAGCCCTCAAATCGGTCACCTAAAGCTGATCCATTTGAATCAGGTGTAGCTTCTGAATGATCATTTAAATAGGATTCAATTCTCCAGTTACGTAGGAATGACTTTGTGGTATGCTCAAGGGTTGGCATTCGTTGTTGCAAGAAGCGAATATGATTATCTGTCCCATTAAAAGACCTCCGCACATTCGAATTCCTGTCTGCAAGATTTGTTGTTTTTCTCTGGGCAAGCCGATCAGCAAAACTCTGGGCAGGTGTGTTATGGTGGCTTGTATAGCCTCCCCGTGATGAAGATGCCACACTGAGACTATCTGAAGGCCTCTTCCAATTACCAGGTGTATTACTGGGTCGATTCAGAGCCCTGTTAAGGAGCAGGTATGGTGTTGTTTCCGGCTGTTCCCCCGCATAACTATGCCTTTTCCAATTTTCATTTATCTGACTGGGTTGAAACTGACGGATTGTATTTGGACCATTAAAGTTTGGGACAAAGTGAGGTTTGTATCCATGATTTCTTATGCTGTACTTATCATGTTCATTGAGAGTATACATCCCTCTGTTTTTGAAGTAACTAGAATCTAGTTTATGAATTTTGTCTTGTTTACCAAAAAGGTTTCTTTGGCTGGAAACGGAAGCCAATGAAGAAACTGAATGCTGGTGAGTGCCATTCTCCCAGAATGCTTTGCCATTCTTCACCCTTGCTGGTCCTTCCTGAGCAAATGAACTGGGGACACAGGATCTAGCATAGAGAGTTCTAAACTCTTCATCAAATGACTCAACGAGCTGTCCTGTGATTACCTGAACCATGCTGAGGTGAGCTTTTTCAAATGACCACATGTAGCTGGAAAAAAAAAAAAATGAAAAATTTAAATTTTGCTAAAAGATTGATAATATACAGTTGTACCAAAAACAGGTCATTTAATGCTGACAAAGGGTGTTTCAGTTTGTTTTACTTACCATAATTTAGAGTATTTTCAATCACTGCATGCTTGCAATGCATGTCTTCCCATTCTCATATTGATATTTTAAATAAAAAGGCATCTCAAGTTCTAGTTTTGAATCAACCCACAATTTCTTATTCTACTTTCCCGAGGTCCAAAGAAAAGCTTGTTGTGAATTTTGCATCTGTGCCTACTAAGATTTTATGAAGTAAAAAATGATGTTATATTTCATGTATACCATTTGGCAGGGTATAGGAAAGCCAGTATTGGAGGATAAGTTGAGAGGCCTGGCTTCTGCCGAGCTGTAGCCCCATAAGCTTGGGTCTCACTTTCCTTGTGTCTAAAGTGGGAATACGGAGAGTGTAATAGCTACAATGCCTTATAGTTCTACCATGTTATAGTGCAAGACAGGTCTTTCTGCCGAGCTGTAGCCCCATAAGCTTGGGTCTCACTTTCCTTGTGTCTAAAGTGGGAATACAGAGAGTGTAATAGCTACAATGCCTTATAGTTCTACCATGTTATAGTGCAAGACAGGTCTGTACTAATCCATGTATTTTAAGAGTCTCGATGCCTTCAGACTGTTGTCCATGGCTTAGTCAGTAAGTGTAATTTAGGATGCCTAGAGCTATAAACAGAGGATTGTGGGCAGCAGCCTCAATCACTAAAGGGTATATTCACTATTACTCAGTGTGCACAGGATTGGTAAATGCAGTCCTCATAAACCATACCAGTCAAAATGCCAATCAGGATCTTTTAATATAGAATACAATTTCTAGGACATCAAAGTTTGTAATGACTTTGACATTTTATGGAACTTCCAATTCCTTTCCTAGAGTTTAGAAGCAACAGTTCTCTTAAAATTTCATATCAAACTTTAAATCTGATTTCAAAACCTCGATGACGTAACACACCAAGTCACTGAGCTGAAAAAGTAATGAATTGCTAATATGCTACACATAATGTTTATGACGAAATGGAAGTAAATACAAGAGAAAAAGGAAACAGACACTCTTCACATTGAAGGATCTCATTCTTTATAAAGGGGAGACAATACCAAATGCAGATAAAAAGATTAAAAAGATGTGCAGAGTGACAATTTAAAATACATAAAGTAGGGCTGGCCCGGTGGCGCACTGGAGAGTGCGCCGCTTGGGAGCGCGGCGGCGCTCCCGCTGAGGGTTCGGATCCCACATACAGACCGGCTC